AAAAAACATCGGCTCCCAGCCAGCACACCCAGCAGGCTGGTATCACAGCTCTCAGGCTTTCTGAGAACCAAAGTGTTCTATATCTTTAGAGACCTATTTTAAAACAGAATAGCATTTTATTGTGCTTAATTCCACGATTACGAAAGCTAAATACCAGAAAAATGTGCTACTTCTCATCATACAAACTTTCAGACTTCACAGAGAAAAAGATATCAGCTCATACTATCAAGATAAAAATGATACAGTTATTTTAAAACATTTACTGGTAAAACTCTGACAAATCCCCTACCTCACATTGTTCAGTCCCCATATAAAACTAGCTTAGCTTTGAGCATTATTTCCTCCTCCTTTCCAAGAAATTATTGACTCTGTACTCAGCCGACCTTTTGCAATGGGTTCAGCATCTGTCCTTCCAGCCGCCCCTGCAGGTCAAGATGGTAGGAAACAAAGTATCTCCTTCTGTATATTTAGAGGCTCCTTGGTGGAAAAGTGTTCATATTACAAAACTTTGGGCTCCTAAATAGTTCTAGAAGGTCAAGCAGCTATGATTCTAGAACAAGATTTTTCACTGTGTCAAAACCACTCGAGTGGTTCTTTCCCACTGAAGTAATTGGAAAGAAAATGTACTAGTAGAGTAAAGGTATTATTGTGTTAACCAAAGAAGTGGCCTGATTTGCTAAAATAAAATCCATTGTGTATACACCACTACACATCATGAAGCTATTAAAAGTTTAGGCATTGTCCCATAGAAACCACTGCCATTAAACAGTTTTTTAGAGATCTGAGAAGAAAACATTTTAAATAACAAGCAGTTCTCTAAATATTCCCTAAACTTTGAGAAGTTTCATAAAGGAAAACAAAGTACTTGGCACATTTCAGTGGCAGTAAAAACAGTAATATTTCCTTGTGGGAAGACAAAACTCAGTTATGGAAACGAGCTGCAAAAGAAAATTTTTTTAAACCTTATCTTCCTAGTTCAGAACATACGAAAGATTTGGAGTTCCAGTGAGTCAGATTTTAATGAAACAAAGCAGTGTATTTATCTCAGCTGATGGAGATGATGCAGTTTATGCTGTTTAGATAGAGTGAAGGAGAAAGGCAAGCTGATTGAAACTCCACTATACCCACAGCTAAGATTTGTAGTCTTTCAGAAACAGCAAGATACCTGAAACTTTTATAGCTCCATCTTCTCTGTATTCTTAGATCTGGTAGTTGCAGGGAGCAGTAAGATCCTCTGAAGTTGTTTCTTCTCCTGGCTGAACAGGCCCAGCTCTCAGTCTCTCTTCATACATCATATGCTCCTGACCCTGACCCTTGGTGGTCCACCACCGGCTTCACTCCTGTATGTCAATATTCTTATATTGAAAGGACAAAACTGGATGTGGGACTCCAGACATGGTCTTGTAAGTGCTGAATACAAGGGAGGGATCACTTCCCTGTACCTGCTGTCAACACTTTTACTAATGTAGTCCATGATATGTTCAGCTTGTTGTCCACTAGGACCCCAGGGCCTTATCTGCAGAGCTGCTTCCCAGACAGTTGGGCCCCAACCTGCCTTGTTGCCTAGGATTACTGCAACCCCAGGGCAAGACCTTTCATTTGTTCTCGCCGAACTTCAGAAAGTTTCTGCCAGCCCATTTCTCCAGCCTGTCCAGGCCCCTCCGACAGCAGCTGATATCCCTCTGACAGAAGTTATTTTATTGGAATTGCCTTCCCAGTTTGGGTCACCCCAGTCTGAGTCACCTGCAAACTTGCTGAGAGCACTCTCCATCTCTTCATTCACGTTGTCAATGAAGACATTGAACAGTACTAATCCCAGTATCGATCCCTGAGGGACTCACTACCTACTGGCCACAAGCCTGGTTTTGCATCATTAATTGCAACTCTTTAAGCCTAGCCTATTTTCTATCCACTTTAGAGTGCCATTATCCATCCCATGTCCCACCAATTTGGGGCTACGGAGGAGGCCATGGGAGGCTCTCAAAGACCATTAAAATCAAGGTATATAACAGCCACTGTCTTTCCATTGCCCACTGTGCCATACACCTCATCACAGAAAGCATGATTTGCATATGGAAAACGTTTTAGCTACTCCCATTCACCTTGTCGTCCTTCATGTGTTTACACACGATTTGCTCCAACAACGTTCTCAGTGACTGAGGTGAGGCTGACTGGTCTATAGTTACCTGGATCGTCCTTCTTGTCATTTTTGATGATCTGGTTCCACAGACTTGTGTATGATATCCAAGCCATTTAAGTGATGCCTGACTCTGCCTTGCTCTGCTGCGGGTACTACTTCACTCCCACTGACTGCTAAGAGGGTCAGGGACCTGGGAGGCCTGAGGACAAGCCTTGCAAGTGAAAACCAAGGTATAAAAAAAGGCATTGAGTACCTCAGACTTTCTCTTGCACCTTGTCACTAGGTCCACTGCCCTACCTAGCAGTGGGCACAAACTCATTTAGCCTTCCTTTTGCTGTTGATGTACTGTAAGAAATCTTTTCTGTCCTTCACCTCCCTAGCTACTTTCCGCTCCAGCTGAGCTGGAGCTTTCCTGGTTGCACTCCTCTATACATGAACAGTGCCTCTGTATCCATCCCAGGTAGTCTGTCCCTGCTTCTGTGTGGTTCCCTTTTTGTGGTTGAGCCGAGTCAGGAGCTCCACATTCATACCGGTCTTTTGCAATGTTCACCTTCTGAAAACACAGGAAGGACAGTTCTTGTGCTCAGAGTATGTTGTCCTTGAAGATTAGCTAGCTCTCCTGGGCCCCTTTGCCCTCCAAGGCAATTATCCACATGATCCTGCCAAGCACCTCCCTCAAAAGAGCATCTTCCCTTATAACATCCTTGATCATCTATATCAAGAAATTGTCTTTGATCTGTTCCAGAAATCAGGATTGCTTGTATTCAGCCATATTGGCCTTCCCGTAGATATTGTTGTGATTAAAGTCATCCAAGACTACCAGCGCCTGGGACTGTGAGGGTTTTTCCACTTGCCTTAAGAATTCTTCATCTGCCTTTTCTTGTTGATGAGAAGGTCTACAGAAGTGTTATAGTTTGGCTGTGACCGACAACAAAAGGGCCACGAGGCCGCTCTGCCACCCCTCCCCCCGCTGGGGTGCGGAGGAGAATGGAAAGAAAAAGGGAAAAACTGGTGGGTCGGGATAAGGGCAGTTTAACAGAACAGCAAAGGGAACAGTAATAACAACGATAAAGATAAGGAGAATATATAAAACAAAACAAACAGCAGAACGCAGAGAGCAACTCTCACTGCCCGCCGCCGCCATGCGCTCCCGAGCCACGACTGCCTTCTCGCCGCCCAGCTCCCCCCAGTCAGAACCCAGCATGACGGCACATGGTATGGAATATCCTGCTCTGTTTAGCCAGGTTAGGTCAGCACAACCGGCTGTGATTCCTCCTGGCTTCTGATGAAAAATTAACCCTGTCCTGGCTGAACCCAGGACAAGAAGGCACCTACGACAGTATCACCTGTGTTGGTCTGTCCTTTGATTTCTGCCTATAAGCTCTCCACTGGTTTATCACTTCACCCAATGCTCCATCCACTCAAAACTCACCTTTACATAGAGCGTAGCCTTAAGGTAGGGCATCTCATACTAGCACCTTGGTAGCACCTTATGGTACTTGCGTCTTGTATCTTGAACAACTCGGTTCAAGGTTGAGGAGTTGCATTGTGTTTGTTACGGAAGAAGGGGATGAGAGGGCCAGACATACTGAGCTTTCTTAGGTTTGCCCCTTTTTTGGTGAAAGAATCCTGAAGTTATGATTTGCTGTCACTCTTTTCAAATACACCTGCACTATAGTAATTCTAGGGAAGGAATAAGATCTTTTAATTAGAGAACAAGGGGAATGCATGTGTAGGCAAATGTAAAAGTTTCTGTAGAACTGATTTCAGTGCTGTCAAAATATAATTAAAATGTTTTTATTAGATTATTAGTCACACTATAGAGTCATTATTAATTCTACACATTAGAAATTAAAATTTTGAATATGAACTACTTAGCTAATAATCTGTTATATTAATCCTAGAAAGCCACAGATTTGTTATATGAGTTTTTAGATTAAAATTAATAATTAAACAAAAATCTGTCAATCTGTCTTTCTTGGTAGGATGTACATACTAAAGTTTGCAATACTTGATCCATAATTCATGACCTTACACACTTTTAACCTACCTCCTCCACAGGTTCCTTAAATTTTATTTCACTGTATTTAACTTAGATTGTACATCATGCAACATATAGATGATAATATTAAGATATAAATTGAAAATACATAGTTTCATATATGTCACTAAACAAACAGAAACTTCACAATTAAAAAATTTCTCATTATTTTTAAAAAACATTTTTTTTCAGGTAAAATATACCCTAGGACACACACATGTACAATTGCATTTTCAAACAAGAAAACAGTGCATTTCAGCTGCACAGAGTTCAGTGTCTCACAGGTAACTAACTACCTGTCATTCTGTACCATGATGCCCAAGTCTGTTCTCAGCTCATTCATTACACTATGTAGCTGTTCAAATCAAAGACTGCTTGACATCCGGCTTTACATTATTCTGACGTTTTAGCTGGTATTTACCTCTTATTTGCAATGGCACGACCATTATTAGTTTAGTAAGTGCCTGTAGCAAAACTTTGTAAAAAGAAGAATGTTTCACATATTGACTTAATAACATCTCATAGGTGTTTTTTACTCAGTTTTACAAGTTTAGCTAAAAATCTCCAGTCCTTCAACCATGTGTGTGCAGTCAAAGATAAGTAATAGAAGAAAGATTCTGTAACATTCCCAACACCTCCCAAAATATATTTAAAAAACCCCTACCAAAAATCCCAAAAAACTAACCCCCAAACTCCAAAGTTCTTGTTTACAACAAAATCCTTTCAGCTAAGGATTTCTACCTGGTGTTTTAATTCTGAGCAAGGCTTTGGTGCATAACTTGATTTCTGGAAGCTAGAGATGCAGTACCAATTGCTTACCTGACTCACACGCAAATGTCTTTGACGTCTCATCATGAAAGATAATTGCCACTGCATGCTTCTTTGTCTCTCGAGGCAATCTAGTTATGTTTTTAATATTGTGCAGCTCAGTTACCTTAAAATGAAGAAAAGTATTTTAGGCCTGTGTATAAATAGTACAAATAAAAATATTAACCATAATTACTCAATTTTTACTACAGTCTGCTGTTTTCTCCCTAAGGTTATTTACACTTATAAGTTTTTTAACTGACAAAAGCACATAAATAGACAGAGTCTAAAGTTACAAAACCTTCCATAAAATGTAATGTATCAAAAAGTGAATGGTCTATTTCTCCAATAAAGCTCTACATGTAAACGTGGTTATTACAATGACATCACAACAGTCTTGAGATTATTCTACAAGATATTTTTCAATTTCTATATTCATACAACTTTGACCATTTTCCGAATCTGCATTGAATACATAACCTAATGCAGCAACAGCAGTGTCTTCTTAGCTAAGGGAAGTAACTCAGTTATTATGCCAATGAGTATCACTATATTTGTAAGGACAGATCCTCAACTGTCTTTAAAGTGCAATTGTCATCCTCATAAGAACTCAGATTTTTGTTTTATTTTCAAAAAATTAGAAAAGCTTAAAAACCAAAAACTACTTTTGTCGAAAATTTACAGCTTAAGCAATTCAATCTATTTCCATTTCCTTTGATGTAAGTAGATAAATACAATTAACACAAATGGAAGAAAAAAGCCCAGAGAGGTAGTAGTTGGGGGCCCCATCCCTAGCAACTTTCAAGGCCAGGTTGGACTGGGCTCTGAGCAACCTGGTCTAGTTGAAGATATCCGTGCTCACTGCAGGGGGGTTCGGCTAGATAACCTCTAAAGGTCCTTTCCAACCCACAGCATTCTATGATTCTATAAAAATGTTATTACAACCAGAGTTGATAGCATAACCTATATCAAACTGCTTAACACTTTGTATCACAAAATATTTTTCTGTGTTTCTTGCAACTCCTGGCAAACTTTAGCTGTTTATAGTTAGCTTTTCCAAACAAGACATCTGCCTTCGGCACAATTAATTTCTTAAAACATCATCCACATGACTTTGGCCATTTATGACTTGGGAAAACAGAGACTGAATGTGGATGGGTTGTTTTTTTTTGCTTTGTAATTCTTATGCTCCCTGTGCACAGTTCTAGTGTTCCTCTTCATAAACTGGAAAGAATGTTTTTTAAGAGACAAAGATTTTATATTGTGTACTAAAAAGATGGAATTTGTTGGGGCAAAGACATTCCAAAAAAGATTCAGAGCAGATGAGCAGTGAGAGCTATCAAGAAGCCAAGGAAAGAAACTGAGACAAAGCATGAAGTGGAATGTGTAGGTGCTGATGACAAACCTGAAACCAGAATTGAAGACTGCTTTGGAGTCTGTCCTGACAGCCTTCAGCAAAACTCACTCCACTTTGTCAATATCTTTGCTGTAACAAGTGCACCAAAACTGGATGCGGTACTCTAGATATAGTCTAATAAGTGCTGATCAGAGGGCGATAATCACTTGTTGTATTGACTGACCATGGTCCTGTTCATACAGCCCATGGAGCTGTTGGCCATCTCTGCTGGCTAAGGCACCAAGCCCCAGGGCCCTTTCCACAGAGATATTCCCAGCCTGTCCATCCCAAGCATGTGCCATCGCAGGGGCTTCTCTATCCCAGGGTTAGCACCTGGCACTCACCCTTCTACAGTTTCACAAGATCCCTGTCAACCCATTCATCCAGCCCATTCAGGTCTGTGGAAGGTAACCTGACTACTGAAAGCAGACATTCTCAGTTTGCTATCTGCACAGTTGGCAAGTGCATGCTCCATTACCTCCTCCAGGTCCCTGATAACAACATTATCCAAGAGCAGTCCCAGTACAGACCCCACCAGTTCTACGCTTGCTACCGACCTTCAGGTAGAGTATGACCTGTTAACCATGACTTTCTGGGTCTGACCAGGCGACCAGCTTTTCATCACCTGGACATCCACCCACCTAGATGATAAAGTCCCAACTTCGATACAAGAATATTGTGGGACACAATGTCAAAACCTTGCTAAAACTGAATACCCAAAAACATCTACGGCTCTCTCCTCATCCCAAATCATGGACGGCTATCAGATTGGTCAGGAATGATTTACCCTTGGTAAATCCATGCTGCCTCTTTCCAATTACTATCTTCACCTTCACATGCCTGGAAATATGTTTTAACAGGACTCACTGCATGGTTCTTCCCATGGGCTGAAGTGAGCCTGCCAGACCTGTAGTTCCCCAGGTTCATCTTTTGGCTTTTTTTTTGGACACAGGTGCAACATTTGCCTTGCCATTGGGTTCCTAGTCCCTGACAATTTTATTTTCAGTCATGTATTTTCAGGGCTTTGCAAGAATCCATTTATTTCTCTATTTTTTGCATGGGGGGAAAAAAGGGGGCTGAACATCACAGACACCACTGTGTCTTTAAAGGAATAGCTGTACTATGCATGGTAAATGATCTAGTATGTGAGAGGGGTCCTATGGCTTAGCTAAAGAAGTAATCTCAAGGAAATCCCGTAAAAGGGAAAACAAAGCATTAGCAGGCAGAGGAGAGAGTAGATCAGAATTCAAAGCCTGAGGCAATGTTGCAGATAAACCCAGCAGCTGGCAGTTAAGCACTCGACAGCCACTCGCTCACCCCTCCCCTTCCCCTCCAGCGGGATGGGGAGAACAAATGGATAAAGGGTAAAACTCATGGGTTAAGACAGACAGTTTAATAAGACAACAAAGGAAATAGTACTACTACTACTAATGATAATAATAACAATCATAATGAATATGCAGAGCAAACTATATACAATACAATTTTTCTCATCACAAATGATTGATTCGCAGCCAGTCCCTAAACAGTGATCATGGAACACGGAACTCGCGGATTTCACAAAACTCACAAAAAAGACTGAACTCCTTGAAAAGTTCAAGCTCCCAGACCAGAAATTATCTGAACCCACAGAAAAGAGAAAGAAAGAGTCCTGCTCCCTGGCCAACCCCCATTTATAAACTGAGTATGATATCTGTGGTATGGTATATTTTCATTGGCCAACTTGGGCTAACTGTCTGGCTATGCTCCCTTCAGCTGAAACCAGGACAGGGAAAAATACCAAATCCAGAAGTCATTACCAAGTTCTGACAACCCAGAAGGCCCCAAAGTAGGAGACAAGGAAGATATGGATCTAGTCTTGCTAAATAAGAAGAGTATATAAGAGCAAAGTATTTTAAAATACTTGGTACACAAATAAGTACATGTTATTCTTAAAAGAGAATTCGCATTTTTAAAATAATTTAAAGATGCACTTAACTTTCCTCTCAAAGGTTCAAAAAGATAATTGACAGTGGAGTACGAAAGGGAAAACAATAATAGGAAGAAAAAACCCCACTGATTCTAACACAAGCAAATGAAATAAAGTGATATTTTTATGTGTGTGTGCATGTGTGACTGTGCACACCACACAGAAAAAAAACCATTAAGCCTTATTATGTTAAAAAGGGGAAATTTCTCTTTCTGGAATACCAGGAAAGGAAACAGAAGTGCTCTGAATAGTGACAACAGGGCATATTAAGCCTTCTTCCAGTCTATCTCAGACAGTAAAGATCTATTCTTTTCTTTAACATTAAAGTGTTACAGATTACTGAAAGATCCTGCAATGTTGGCAAGCTTGATAATAAATCCAAAAAACCTGCACTCCTGGCATCAAAGCTGCATAACTTTCACAGTAATTTTTGTTCTAAACATAACTACAGACAACTGGGGATGCATACCTAGCCATCTATAAAGATGATTTTTTGGGTCTCTTGTTGATCAATACATTAAGCCTGTTTTATTTAACATATTAACAGAAGATTTTTTTTTTTTTACTCAAGATTATTCACACACCTGGGAAAGCTGTCAACACAAAATGAACGCACAATAGAATTTTATTTTATTTGCTGGTAGGAATTTAATGTCTGAAAGAGACAATGAAAACACCACCAAATTCTGACATGTTGCATTTTGTTACTCATATGAGAGATTTGGTTGAACAAAATGCATGGCAAGTGAAGAAAAACAGTCTCTATGCAGGGGAAAAAGAGTTTTGTTTTAAACACATTTCAACTTTCCTTTGTCTTTGGAATCATACTGCCTCCCTAGACAGCACAGAACTCCTTATAACTCCAATGTGACAGGCAGAGTTTCATGAATTGACTCTTCCAAACTCTCTGACTTTTACTTTCTGTTTTTAAAGCAAGGTTTTTTGAGCCAGTCATAATTTCAGACAGCAGTCACATTCCTCTTGCATATCTCTTTCCACAAAAATGGACATATTTCAAACTATCATGAGTTGTTGTGAAATATCTCTTTTTTTGTCAAATGCTCTAATGGTTTAAGATGGGTACAAAAAAAAAGAAAAATAAGATAATTTAAAAAAGATCATCTCCTTCACCTTGAAATGCTTTGTTTTACAAGAACTGAAGGTTTCCTGGAAAAAAAGGCAATTTATACAGATGCTAGCTAGGAAAAATAACTATTTCTACAGGGAAAACTTAAAAAAAAAAAAGAAAAGAGAAGAGAAAAAAAAATAACTGAGCTTTAGCACTCAGTCCCATCTCTGTATCTGAGAAAGCAGCAAATTTCACAGCATCACAGAACGGCTGAGGTTGGAAGGGATCTCTGGAGGTCATTTGATCAAACCCCCCCTGCTCAAGTCGGGTCACCTAGAACCCATTGCCCAGGACCATGGGTGGATGGCTTTGGAATACATCCAAGGTGGGTGACTCCACAGTCTCTCTGGGCAACCCATGCCAGTGTCAAGTCATTTTCACAGTGAAGGAGGTTGGAAGGGATCTCTGGAGGTCATTTGATCAAACCCCCCCTGCTCAAGTCGGGTCACCTAGAACCCATTGCCCAGGACCATGGGTGGATGGCTTTGGAATACATCCAAGGTGGGTGACTCCACAGTCTCTCTGGGCAACCCATGCCAGTGTCAAGTCATTTTCACAGTGAAGAAGTGTTTTCTGATGTTCAGAAGGACCCTCCTGTGTTCCAGTGTTTGCCTGTTCCCTCTGGTCCTGTCA